TCATTGAGAGTCACCCGGCCTATCCTGGACTCCAGGAACAAGCTGGACTGGAGGGAAGGTAAATAATCCCTTTTTTTAAATAATGCCACCCATCTATCCACTGGAAACACACACACAGGCCTTTATTAAGGCACATAGACATATATATACACACATAGACAAAACTTAAGGAAGTTGTATCTTTGTTGTTGTTTCTTATCCCCTTGTGTAAAGATTACACAAATTCCATGAGTTCATGCTCCTCGAGCTGTTTTATGATAAGCAGCGGCCTTTCCCAAAGGTCATGTTTAGTGCATCTAATGCAAGCCAAAATGTTGTATCTTTTGGGCGATAAGGAGATGCCTTTTTTATAAACGTGAAATTGTACTGGGATAAGGTGGATAAATTAAGATGTTGTGCTGAATATACAGTCTCCCAAGAAAGACCCCTCAAAAAACACAGCAACTCCCGGTCTCTCATCGGAGACTGTCATGATCAGTCATTCAGTGATGATAAGTTATGATAAATTCTTTCAATGCAAAATATTTTATTTTCCAAATATAAAAGTGTAAAATGATGGGTCAAATTGTATGGATGTCTAGTTGTAAGTTTGTGATAAGTAAATGAAGCACTTTGTGGTGAACATGGTGAGACATATCCAGTTGGATGTATCAGTTTATGAAGATATTCCAGGGTTAAATCTCATGGCAGTAGTTTCACTGGGCCATTAGTGAAAGTTATAACTTATCTAATAATAGATACAAGAAAATAAGATCTAATCCAAATAATTTAATAGCGTGTGGCATTTCGGCAAAAGCATTGTTACCATCATCAGACAAAAAGCTATTAAATTATTTGGATTAGGTCTTATTTTCTTGTATCTATAATCTATAATACAAATTGTGTTTTATCGTTATTTAATAATAATATATATGGTAATGTTGGAGTATCCATCCTCTACTTAGTCCACAAGTCCTGATAAATGTGCTGGCCATTAAAGAAAGCCTCTTGTAAAATTGAGAAGGGCCTATTCAAATCACTGGTTGTCATACAGAACCAACTATGGGTGAATAAATGTATAGGAGTTGTAATGGAATTTTATAGAAAACTTGTATTACAATAATTGATTTTATTCTTCCTCTGCCATTACAGATGATCAATCGAGATCAGGAAGATTTTAAAGAGGATTAAAGATGGCCATTTCCAGTAGCTTGGTTTGGTCTCATTGAATTACTTCGTAGGAGAGAGTGCCAGGTACATGCTGAGAGGGGGGTGGTTTTGAAGAGTATTGAAGATGGTCATTTCCAGTATCTCAGGTTGTTGATCCCTTTGAAGTGAGCTTGTAGGAGGCCAGGTATATGATCAGAGAGGGGGATGGTATTGAAGAGGATTGAAGATGGTCATTTCCAGTATCTCAGGTTGTTGGTCCCTTTAAAGTGAGCTTGTAGGAGGCCAGGTATATGATCAGAGAGGGGGATGGTATTGAAGAGTATTGAAGATGGTCATTTCCAGTATCTCAGGTTGTTGATCCCTTTGAAGTGAGCTTGTAGGAGGCCAGGTATATGATCAGAGAGGGGGATGGTATTGAAGAGGATTGAAGATGGCCATTTCCAGTATCTCAGGTTGTTGGTCCCTTTAAAGTGAGCTGGTAGGAGGCCAGGTATATGATCAGAGAGGGGGGTGGTATTGAAGAGGATTGAAGATGGCCATTTCCAGTAGCTTGGGTTAGTCCCATTGAAGCCAGCTTGTAGGATGCCAGGTACATTCTGAGAGAAAGGAGCAGGAGTTTCTATTTCCAGACAACAACAGAAAGATGATTTAGGGCTCAGATGGTTGAGTGTTGGTTCAAGAAATTTTGTTTTAAATCCAAGAGATATCTTGTGGATGTCAACAGGCTGGATGTAAGAAGTCTTCAGCTGGAGGATCAAGGTTCACTGATATCAAGGAATGAGATTTTATTCCATGAGGCTCGTTGATCTGAGCAAATGATGAGTAGGATATTCTCCATCATTAGAACAATTCCTTCTTGGGATTCCCTACAGGAGATTTGAAGGTTTCCAACAGGCAGGGATAAGACTTCAGTTTTAAATGATCAGAGGACTTCAAGGGACCCAAGGTTGAGAGCCTGGCATCAGGAAGGGATCATGGCCATCCGAACTGTGTTGAGACAGACTAGTGAAAGAGATGAAATGCCCAAAGACGGTTTTTCTAGACCATGTCTAACTCATTTCAGGTTATAATTCTGCCAAGTTACTTAATGGTAGTATATCAAACAATTATGCTTACTGCAACATTAGTTAACTCTGCTGTATTAGTAGTACCTAGGGTCAGATCCTGTACCACTCTCTATTCCAGATATTCAGAATTATATTGGAATATGCCACATTTTATATTATAGGATTGTCTCTTTCTGTATTGCCGGGCTTAGGGACCTGATAAAAAAAATTTTGAATAAGAAAAATGCCAATGAAAATAGAATTTTGATTTAAAAATGCCAATCTTAAAAGCCCTATAACCTTAAGGCCTTAAAGGTCCCTTAGCCTGGCAAAGCAAAATGAAACAATCCTACAAATAATATGTGGATATTCAATATAATCAGAATACCTGAAATAAAAAATGGCACAAGGCCAAACCAAAGGTGCAACGAATACAACAGCTTTAACCAACATTACAAATAAACATAAGAGTGGATACACCACCAAAAAGCAACAGGACAGAATTACAACCGTGAAATAAGCTAGGCATAGCCTAGGAAAAACGCGCCTAAGGACATCCATCTCGGACACTAGTCAAATCTCAACTGCAACAATGAACAATCCTTGGATACTTTGTTAACTCTTTTTTTTTTTAATTTATCCTTAAAGAATACAAAAAAGATACAAAAAAGAATACTGAACCAAACAATAGAACCAATGTCATATACAAAATACCATGCAAGTCTTGCCAAGCCGTCTACATAGGAGAAACCGGTAAACAATTAATAGAAAGAATCAACCAGCACAAATCAGCCCTAAAACACCATAACCCGACCTCCTTACTAGTAGATCATGCTCTCATCAATAGCCACATTCCAGACTTTGAACAAACATCAATAATATACCAAGATATAAAAGAAAAGCACAGCAGGCTATTCTTGGAGAGTTGGAGTTCTTTGGAAGACAGAAATAGTATAAACCGAAAGATCGATATACCGGACATGTACACACAATTTAGATGCTCCTAGAATAGGAACCTTTATGTATATATGAACCTCAGTGGAATGTCTTCATTCATAATGCAATAGCCGAATATTTATTTTGTATATATAGATATTTGCTTTTCACTCTATTTATTCATTTATTTTAATTAGTGTTATACGATATTTATTTGCATACATTACTTTTTCATTTGGATGATTTTCGCCTGAGAGATTGTGAGACGCCCGTGTCTCAAGTGTAACGCGCGGCTTGCCGCGAAAAAGGATGAGATCCTAGAAAAAGATGGTCGTTTAGCCCATCGAAATATCGGAAATAAAAAGATTATTTATTGAATCCAAGATGTGCCCTTTATAAACACATATATATATATATATATTAAGAAAAAGGCATCTCCTTATCCCAGTACAATATCACATTTGTACTATTTTTTCACACATATATATATATACTAGCCGAGTGACCCGGGCAAAGCCCAGGGTTTACCCAAAGGGCCTGCAGAGACTTTAAAAGTATAGATGGTGGTTTAAAAATCGCAATGGGTATATTCCGATTTCCTAGAAGCAGCATTTCAAGTAAGGATAAGTAAAAATACTTTCTAAGTATAAATTCGTTAATTCGACCATGTTTTGATTTCCAGAACCTATGAAATTACAAACAGTAATTCGACAATACCGATAATTCGACACCTTGCGATAATTCGACCCTGATTTGATTTCCCAATCTCTGGCCTATCAAATAACAAACGGTAATTCGACAATATTAATTATTCACCACTTCTGATAATTCAACCATTTTAAAATGCAAATTTCGACGATTGATGTTTACTTACAACTTTACTAATAAAAAGGTATTATAGATGCGAGCAACGAAACATTTTGAACCCATATAACGCAAATTCATATCCTCACTTATAGGGTGTCAAGCCTAAAGGATGCGAATTCATGTCCCTGATTTCTAAAAATTAACATAAAATTGTAGGCTACCAACGCGAATTCGCGTCTACTGGGATCTTTTCCCATACCTTCTTGCCTATTTATCAGTGGGTTGGGTTGGGGGGAATGTCAGCTGTCCCAATGTACCTGTAAAATGTCACATGCGACCGAGTTCAAGCAGCCATTATTTTTATTTATTTCAAGCTATATAGATTACATTAAAAGAAAATAGCATTTTTTAAACATGTTATTATATGAACAACTCGATTTTCATACGGCCCACTGGACCATGTAACTCTGGAATCATAAGTGCAAAAACAGACACCCCTAAAGGACTCCTTTAAAATATCTTCATGATTCTTTTTTAATGATATTCTTAAACATTTTAAATTTTTTTTTCATATTTATCTACTTTTCAATATAGAAAATAAGATAACATAAAAGGGATAAATTCATTTAATGGACCTCACTAAAAACTGCATTTATAGCCGAATGACCTGGGCAACGCCCGGGTTTTACCCGATTAAATGTTTTTATTCAAATACTATTCGTTACAAATATAAATTGGAGCCGTGGATGTCAATCTTGTGAAACGTCCCGTTCCAAACTTTACATGTACATTAGGTCAGCTGGTATTACCCCCCATTTTCACCCCTAGAGGCGCGAGCGAAAGAGCAAATTTGCAAATAACACGACGGATATTCGGGATAGAGACCTGAAATTTTCACTAAGAGTTTTTCCAGATTCTACTTTATATACTGTTAAAATTTCAGTCAGATTAGTTACGTATTGTGGACGTGTATAGTTGACAACATACATACATACGCTGACTTTTATATATATAGGGATAATAATATAAATGAGTTTTCAAAATTGTAAAAAAAAAAAAAAATGCATCGGCCGGGAATCGAACTTGGGCCGCCCGCGTGGCAGGCGAGCTTTCTACCACTGAACCACTGATGCTTATAAGAAATGGCCCTATTTGGGTATTTATTCCATTCACAAAAGCAAACGATGACAGAATTGTTGATGACTCTGATACTTGTATTTATAATTATGTTAGTAAATTAAATTTTATTGCCATCTATCGTTAAAATTTTACACAATAAATTTACTGGCAATGCGTTTCTTTTTAAATATCATCAAATATTATCTCTACAGACCTTACTGCAATGATATGATTTATTGAATGAGAGGGCTTGGCTCATCAGTAGTGAAACCGCTGAGAGGGTTCACTACTGATGAGCCAAGCCCTCTCATTCAATAAATCATATCATTGCAGTAAGGTCTGTAGAGATAATATTTGATGATATTTAAAAAGAAACGCATTTCCAGTAAATTTATTTGTGTAAAATTTTAATAATTATGTTAGCATAATGAATTAGTCAGTATTCCCATGGTCTCCAGAGAAGAGGTGTGAATTGACTTTTTGAAAATATACATAATTATAAAGATAGAAGCTTCTATAGAAATAAATAAAATAAGCCGAAATAGCTCAGTTAGGAGAGCGTTAGACTGAATATCTAAAGGTCCCTGGTTCGATCCCGGGTTTCGGCATCTTTTTTTATTTTTAAATTTTTACTTACCGTAACTTGACACGTGACTTAACGTGACAGAATTGTGCATGACGCTGATAACAGTATATATTAATGTGACATCACTTCCCACTCAATATGTTGTGGGACTACCATTAAAACATCTTGTTGATTATAAACACAAGGTAATAAAACCAAATCCATATAAATAAATAGTGTGTGACGTTTCAGCGTTGTTACCATCTTCAAACAAAAGTACTGAATGATACTTTTGTCAGTACTTTTGTCTGAAGATGGTAACAATGCTGTTACTGAAACATCACACACTATTTATTTATTTAGATTTGGTATTATTACAATGGGTTTAAAATCTATAATCCAAATTGTGCCTTATCATCTTGTTGATTAAGAAATGAAAAGTTATGAACCTTTATTCCTCACAATTTAATAAATTATATAATAAGAGGATTGAATTTCAACATGAATAAATTATCATTTGAGAAGCAGTTAGAAAACAAAACAATATGTTTTAAAATGTCAAAGTGGGTATATTTCTTTGTCCGAAAATCGCTTATTAATTGCATTGCAAAATATTTAGTAGCAAAAATTTGTATTGAATAATTTAGAATTTGATACGGTAAAATTTGGGTTATAGATTATAAACAAAAGGTAATAAGACTGTATCCAAATAAATAAATAAGTGTGTGACATTTTGGTAACAGCGTTGTTACCATCTTCAGGACAAAAATACTGAAACATGACAAACTTTGGTCTGAAGATGGTATCAACCCTGTTATTTAAATATCACACACTATTTATTTATTTGAATTTAGTCTTATTACCTTGTGTTTAATTCCGAATTTATTAATTTTTAAAAATGAATTATTGTATCCAATTTTATTTATTTCCTTATTGGAATACAAAAAAAATTAATGTAACAAAATTAACATATTTTTAATATCCCAGCTTGCTGGCTGGCTGTAGAATGGTGAAAAACAGTCTTAAAAATAAAACACGCTCTGACGTTCGAGGCCAAAAACTTAATATGTACACTGTGTGACAAAGAAATTACTGAAGAACTCCCCCATTACCTGCTTAATTGTACATCCCTTGATGCAGAGAGGAAGGCCCTATATCAACAAATTAAATGTACCAACATTTCACCCTACGCATTGCTTTTAAAAATATCAGCAAATAAATCTAAGGCAATAGCTTATTATAATTTTTTTAGATCATCATTATGTAAGGAACAGTCAACAAGTGAATGACTTTGAGACGAAGAGTAAAGCCAGTTTAATTTCTATGTAAATAACACAAGATGATTATTATCTTACCCAATTGGGAGAATCTATATGGGGCAAGTCCTTAATAAAGGCTTTTGTGTGTGTGTGTGTTTATTATCAACGCCTAACCATTTTTCTATTTTTTTGTAACAATTTTGTAATAATTTAAATAATTAAATGACTTGTAAATTATTCGTGAAATGCTTAGAGTATATATATATTTAAATACTTCAGGAAATTCATAATTAATATTGTTTGTCCTTGGAAGGTTTAGATAAAATATTTTTTTAAATATATAAATTCTTCAAAGATTTTTGTCAACAATCAAACTACATGACAACATTATGAAAAATTTTTATGCACAAAGGTTTTTAAAAATCTTAGTTTCACTTCAGAGTTGGAAAAAAATATTTAGGCGAAAAAAAAAATCATCTATACCTTTTTTCCTCTTATGTAATTAATGTAAATATTTTTAAAGAGATTTTGATAATTTTTTTAAATAATCATTGCATAAACAATGTTGCAAAGTAATCTTATTATCTTGTGTAAAAGATATATAATTTCCTCAAAAAAAGAAAAATGATAAATATATTATAAATATATAGCTATATACCTTTGGTTTTCGCTTTATTAGTAATATTATACAATATAAAGAAATATAAAAGAAATAAATGCTAGAATAAAAAGAACGCGCTTTCAAAACAAAGGAATTGATGATGATAAATGCAAAAAAATCTACGATTGTAAAATAGATTAAATTAAAAAATAAAAATAACTGTTAACATTAGGAAAATAAAAACAGAACTAACATACGAAGAAAAAAATAACGAAAATTTTGGTATATAGATCGTTATGTGTAGTTCAGAATCTTCGGAGGAGATAGCTTAGGACTTTACAATGGAATTATCTATATAGATATATTATTGGGGTGAAATATTATAGTTCATTCCTTAATTTGAACAATCTGAAGCGCCAAATAATTCTCTAAATGAATTTCCTTTTGAAGGTTATTTTGAAACTAGAATGACTTCAACGAACAGCTGTTGAACGTTTGCTATACGTAAAGTTGATGAAATGTAAGTCCCCCATGTATTTATTTCAGAGGAATTGATAAGACTAATGCGACACCTCAATCATGTTATCTCAAGTCGATCGAGCCATAGTCTGTTGATATGACATTGCCTTGGTCTAGTCCAGTGGTCGGCAAACTGCGGATGTGAAGCTGAGGCTCTTTAAATAGTTCCATATGCAAATATTATTTATGCGAGTACTAAATATTGTTGGTAAGAAAAAAAATTTGTGGCTCTTTAAAAACTTTGAAATTTTGTAAATTGTAATTTTTGACGACCAAGTCAAAAGTTTACCAACCCCTGGTCTAGTCCATATGCTGAAGATTTAATAGATTCACCGCCTTTAGAAGCCGTTTCAAGGACAAGTTAGACAAAGGGGAGAGGGCAAAGGCTGACTTTCACCTCCTTGTGGTTCTCCCAACAGCAGCAGCTCTTTTTTTTATCAATCATGGAGACTTATTGACTATCCTTATCAAGATTATAAATATAATCCATGAACTCAGTCTCCATGACCTTGTATAATTATAAAATCAAAAAATGACAAGTGAGTGGTCTTCTCAATATTAAAATTGAGTTGGGGACTTGTTCCAGTCTCTACTCTTCTTCCTTCTGACTTAGCCGCTCTAGGGCGTTGTCCATTCTCTGCCATGTAGATGTTTTCTCTATCTAGACGATGTAACCTTATAGTAAGGCATCTTACACACTACTACATTATTTATGGAGAAGAAAAACTTACAGTTGTGCATGTTTTGGTTAACGTGAGAATGGATCCATCCAACTCTCTTGTCCGAAGAAACCGTACTGCAGACCACAATAATGAAGATATCGTGCTAATTACTTTTGTTTATTTGTTTTTCAACTGAATTATTTATTGATTGTAGGCGAAAGCTTGCATATTGTTGCTTGATGCATGAATTTGTATATATTTTAACTCTCCTCAAAGCTTATATATAGAGTTTCCTCAAATATATTCATCAAGAATCCCTTTAAAGTACTGGATATAAAGGTAGAACAGCCCAAATTCAATTTTTATTAGAGGAAACGCCTGAAATTATTGTGATTCTTAACGTAAACACGGTATACCCGAGGGATATTCTTGAATAGAAACTTGCATTGTATTATCTCGTGTGTATGTTTGAGTTTTACACCTTTGCCGTTTCAACGTAAATCCAGAACAGTCGGAGAACCTGCCCTGTACGATCTAGAAGAACCTGCCAGGTTAATCTCTCCAATAAATAAGAATGGTTAAAATAAAGAAGAAAGTGCCATTCCAGAATCGTCCAGAGCTCTCCGGTCCAGCTACGGAAGCCAATATATTCCCGCAGCAGATGAATTCCTGCTGATCTCAGCTGGTCCATTAATCTGGTGGGATTACCTCCGTCGGCATATTGAAGTTTGTCATCGATCTCGTGTCTTCGTGGGCCATCAGAATCTGTCACCGGGTGTCACTAACTTGGTATCGCTGTTTACGCGGTTTATATTTGTGACTGGTTGTCACCAACCGTGTGTCCAGTTGTCACCCACATCAAATTTGTTTTCTTTGTTGTCTTCAAGCTTGTGACTGATCGTTCAGTTTATCTCTGTGATTGGCTGTCATCAAGATCTTTACTATATACCCTGACGTAACTAAAATGGTCGCTGGATTTATCTATGTGATTGGCTGTCGTCCTTTTATCGTCCCTATATTTACGGTAACCAAGTTGGTCGCTGGGTTTATCTCTGTGATTGGAAGTCCCCCAGATATCGTTACTGTGTACCTGATTTATCTCTAGGTATGGTTGTCATCTATATCGTTTGTTATGTATAGTAAAGTATTAGAGTTCTAAAAAGCGGTCTGGAAGATTAGCGAAACCGCTAGGAAGGTTTACCACTGATAAGCCATTCCTTCCCAATTTATATTTTCATCTCAGTAAAGACAGTAGGAAATTTGCTTTATTTGAAAAGTAAAATTCGTTCTTAATAGCTTCATTTTGTGTATAATGAGATGTGCATTCATGGACGAAACTTAAAGGACGAAACTTTTCATTTCCTTAAGCTTTATCTATGAGTGTATAGGATCATCTTAGATACGGACG